GCACCCACGGGCTGTGTTTTAAGTTGTAGCAGCAGCAGCAGGGGGCTAAACTGAGTGGGATGGGCAGAGAAGGAGCCAGGGTGAGCACGAGTGAGATGAGCTCACTGCCATCTCCCCACCCTCCTCCCTGAGCATACTGTATTTACTCTGCACTGCTTGTGTTCTCCTGACAGACGCTGAGCAGCTGAGTCCCGGTGGCCCAGAATAGCTGCGTGCTCAGAGCCAGCAGCCTGGGAGGGACCTGGTGGCCACAAAGACCTGGTGACTCGTGCCAGGGCAACCAGTCACACTGGGGCTAATATTGTATTTCTCCTTGAGGGCCAGAGCTGGGTAACACAGCAGCCCTGAGCCTCTGTGCTGGCCCCCAATGACCTGTCACCCTTGGGCAGGGTTGGGGCTGTGGAGATGGAGTGGGGAATGGGACTGCGCTCTGTGCCGCCCTGCTCTCTGTGCCCCCTCCCTACAGCCTTCAGCCTGAGATTTGGTTCAGCACAGGTCCCACCACGCTGCCCCATCAGCTCTGCTCAGCTCCTGCCTGGCAGAGTCCTCCGAGGGCTTCCCAGGGGAACCTGCAAGCCTCTTAAATGTGTTGCCTTTTTAAAAATTAACCTACTTTCCATGTGGATTTCTGGCTTCTTTTCCCTACTGTTTGCATGATTAACTCAGCACTGCTCCCTTTCAAACACGACTCCCCTTTGTAAATCCTGCTGTGCGGAACCAAGTGAGTAGCAGTGAGAATTTGTCTTTTTGACTGAAAGTTTGTTTGACCTGAGCTTTCACTGAGTGCTTTGTCTGCTCTGGATATAGCCTGCTTTTCCTTTTAAAACTAATTTTAGATTTACCTGAGGCAGAGCTGTGTGAAAGGATGGCCTTATTACCACCAGCTGAGCCCAGTCCTGGCTTCTCTGGGTCAGTGCTGCTGTCAGCGAATGCCTCTTTAGCAGAAGTAGTAAAAGAGAGGAGAAATCAGGAGGTGTCACAGCCTCCTCCTCTCTCCTTCCCCCTTCTCTGCCCACCCAGAGATGAGAGCTGACGGTTGCTCTGCGGGGCCGCATTTGTTGTCGCTGGCAATGAGCAGGGCTGCTTTTAATTTTCTGATGTAACGTGAGCTGATTAGGGGATTATCTGCTGGCGGCTCACAGGGGTGTGCCTAGCATCTCACAGCTCAGGGATGGTGGCAGTGTCACCCCCTCCTTTCACTGTACCCAGTGGTGCCAGGCAGGTGAGTCAGAGGAAGGGGAACAAAACACAGAAAGCCCAGGCCCACTGCTGCCATTCCCCTCCTCATGGCTCTGCTCTGTGCTCTTGGGGCTGTTATCCTTTCCCTCCCCGTCATCTCTCGCCCCATGGAGAGCAGTGGCTGCAGCAGAGCTGCACGTCCAAGTTCATTACGTTGTGGGATGGACACGAAGCAGCCAACAGCTTTGGCAGCACCCAACAAAAACTGCCAATAGGCTGAAAACTGCCCAGTGATGAGACTGTGACTGCTGCCTGCGAGCTTAGGCTCTAAATATCCCAGAACTTACTGTCACCTCAGAAATAAGAGATCCTGAGCTCTGAGTCATAGGGAAAGGGCTTTCCAGATAAGCCAAGGACAAAAGAAACTGAATTCTCTGCCTGTCCCTACTTCACATCGCCCAGAGATCTGCTCATCGTTACCAGGGTGCGCTTAGCAATGAGAAACGTGGCAGCGGGCTGTGAGCCCCGGCTGCTCACCAGACCCTGGTGGTGACCTTCGTGTCTCTGAGATCAGTCATTCCCTCAGGGGTTCCTCTGTTGATGCTGGAAGCTGGCACGTGAGGTGGTGACATGGGGGATTTTCCCATTTCAGAAGCACTGCGACAGGCAGAAGGCAAACCTGAGGATCCGCTTCAAGCCCTCGCTCTTCCAGCACGTGGGAACCCACTCCTCTTTGGCTGGGAAGATCCAAAAGCTGAAGGTGGGTACTGAGCAGTCTCTGACCCCCATAGAGGAGACATCCCCTCTGCTACTGCAGACAGATTTGATGGTATAAGGCCTTTGATAAGCTGCCCCTCACCTGGCAGAGAGCTGGTGTGTGCAGAGTTCTGTGACATTTGGAAGTTGTGTTCAAGCTGTTGGCTGAGACACAGGGAGCAGCAGTGCTCCATTCTTCACTGCGCAAATCAAGAGCTTTTAATTTGTACTGCCTCGTTGGAAACCCCATTCCTCATGGCTGAGAGCAGCTTGTGATCCTTTCCTGCTTTCTTGCTTTGCCTCCATCAAGGACAAGGACTTTGGCAAACATGCCCTGCGAAAGGAGCACGTCAACCCTCCTGCAGAGGTGAGCACCAGCCTGAAAACCTATCAGCACTTCACCCTGGAGAAGGCTTACCTGAGAGAGGATTTCTTCTGGGCCTTCACACCCACCGCTGGAGACTTCATCAGATTCAGATTCTTCAAACCACTCCGCATTGAAAGGCCGGTGCTTGGGGGCTGCACGGGTGGGGACACCGGGTGGGCACAGAGTGTGAGGAGATACTTCTCTCACGTTGTCCTGGCTTTCACTTTGGGCTGAATTCTTTGCCCATCCCCGGGAGGAGGGAGCAGTGCTCTGCCAGGGGGAGGGCGATTTGACTTGACCCTTTTTGGTGGGTCCATGTCTGCTGGAACCCTTTGCTTTCCTGCACTTAGGAACAACCCTTAGGGTACCCATCTGGTACAGGTGTCCTTACCAACCAGGTGCTTTCTAGGAATTGCACCTCTTAGGTTGAGATGTTTGATGGCTCACAAGTCATCACTTCCCTGTGCTCAATGTAGTTTTCTGTGGTTTTGGTCTCTGTCACAGGTTCTTCTTCCGCAGCGGGAACATTGAGCACCCTGAAGACAAACTCTTCAATACCACTGTGGAAGTTTTGCCGTTTGATGTAAGTGTGTTAGTGAGAGCTGAGATGTGGGTGGAGGGGGAAGAAGAAGAGGATGGAGAAGGGAGAGCCACTGAGAACTGTCAGGAGAACCTTGAGTGCCTTTGGGAGGTGCTGGCAGCCTGAGCAGCTGATCCCCTGGTATGGAATCGCCTTGGGAGCTGGGATGGAGCTGCCTACAGAGGATACCCAGGTGGATGGGGTGGCTGCAAAGGAAGGGCTGGGGCAGGATGTGTAGCTCCTTGTGCTGGGCAAGGGAACGAGGTGCCACAGAGTGCTGAGACCTGCATATAGCCAGGGATGCTGTGGGGGTGGCTCCGGGGGTTGCTTTTATTGCCTGGGGCTTTGGGGTGGTTCTCACTGCTGGTCCTGAGCTGAGAGCTCCTCTCCATCCTGCAGAGCCTGCAGTCAGACAAGGAAACCTTGCAGGAGGGAAGAGGCACAGCTGTCAGATACCACAGAACAGCCGATGGCTACATCCAGATAGGTATGGCAGGGAGGAGACCCTGCATGCATCCCCTGTGCTCATTTTCACATGACTTAAAGCTGTTCTTTCTTTGTTGGGAAAATAGGGCACAAGTATTGAGTGTGATTTTTTTCCATTTTCTTTTCCTTTTTATTTTTTTTTCAAATTATGCCCAAAATGGGACATAGCAACAGGCTGAATGCTTGCTAATGCTGTGGAAAGAAGCACTGCCTCCTGTGCCTTACCCTGTCTCTTGTCTATTACAGCACAGTGCTGCATCAGTCTGTCTGCACTTGTTCTGTCTGCATTTTGTTCTAACTGATGGGTGCTGCTCCTCTCAGTGTAGCAGAGTGCACTCTGTGCTTCACTGATGGTTTCACAGTTGGTTTCAGCCCCTCCCTGATGCCTGGGCCCTGTGTGCCCAGTCCCCGTGGTGCCCCTGCTCTGCCAGCCCCACCTCACCTGTGCTCTCCCACCAGGCTCCTTCTCCAAGGGTGTTGCAGAGGGCGAGGTGGACCCATCCTTCGGGCCGCTGGAAGCCATCCGCCTCTCCATCCAGACCGACTCCCCAGTGTGGATCATCCTGAGCGAGGTGCGCTGCTCTGCCGCCGCCACCACCCCAGCCTTATCATCTCCGTGCTATGTAACAGGCCACGTTTACACGACTGCTTTCTTCTTTCCTCTCCTTTCAGATTTTTATCAAAAAAGCAGAGTGAAGCAGGCATGCTGAAGGATGGACACACGTAGCGCCCGGGTCCTTCTACCTCCCCCCACTCTTCCTCGTTCCTGAGCCGGCCGAGATGCGGGGACCGCGATGCCAGCGAGGTGGCACCCGGCTGCTGGGAGGAGCTGCACTCTGACCTGTGGGCACCGGACAGCCCTCCACACCTTGGCTTCGAGGCCAGCACTGGTGCTGCGGGGCTTGGACAGACTTTCCTCCGGAAGGAGGAAAAAAAGCAAAAAAACAAGCTGCCCTGCAAAGGGGTGGCTTTGCTCCCCTAGGCAAGACCCAGGTGCTCACCGCTCCTCCTGTGGGCGCGTTGTCAGTGTGCGGGGCCGTTCAGTGTTGGGATGAGCTTTAGCAGTCATGGAGACTAAAAGCACCTTCAGCCCAAGAAAGGGGAATGGTGGCTGTGTTTGGGGACGGAGGGGGCCAGATTCAGACAGCTTTATCCTGCCCCTGCTTTGCAGGCTGATGCATGGGTGCAGGATCGCTGGGATGGGAACAGCCAGGGATCAACGTGTGCATCACTGTAGCACAGGCACTGATCCTGACCATGGCTGTAGATTCTTGAGGGTGAGGGCTGACCCTTCCGTGGTGGAGGAGGGACGAATCCAAAAGGGGGTTGGAGCTCTGAGTAGGGCAGGGAAAAAAATAAACGCCACACTGTGCCTGCCAGCATTGAACACAGCCCCTTAACTCATGGTGAAGTCTCCAGTGTCTTCATGCCTTGAGATTGAGTGCAGAAAACAGCTTTTTAAATAACTATTACTGGTTGGTGTGAATTTTTTTGGAAAAAAAAAATAAAAAAAAAGCAGAAGTAGCCCAGTTCAAAAATAGTAGGGATTAGTGTAAATCCCAATGTCTCTTCAGCTATACACTGGAATGCATTATACTACTTTAACGTGCTGTATTTTTTATTATTGGATACATTTGATTTTTCAACTACATCTCTATATATAAATATATAAAATAATGTGCACTGTAATAAAAGCAAAATTTAAACCTTTGGTGCAGCTGTGAGAGGCGCTGGGAGTGGGCTGGCATTCAGCCTGGGCCGTCCCTGCTTCCTGCCCTGGGAATAAAAAAGCTTTCATCTGCTCTTTGCTCAGCTAGGAGCAAGGAACGCGCCCGCACCTCCTAAGTGCAGTTGTGAAATGGTTCTTAGGAAATGTGTTGTGAATTCGCAAGAGCTCTCTGCTCAACAGTGGCTTCAGCAGCACCTGGGGTTGTGGGAGAAGCTGAGATACGAATTGTGGATGGGCAGAGTCCTGGTGAGGGGAGGACAGGGCTGAGGTGGAGGAGGAACCGGGGGAGGTTCGGGTTGGATAATAGGAAGCTTTTCTTCTCTGACAGAGTGGTGATGCCGTGTCACTGCTGCACGGGGAGGTTGGGGGGGTCACCATCCCTGGGGGTGTTTGAGAACCGTGGAGATGTGGCACTGCAGGACGTGGTTATGGGCATGGTGGGGGGGAGCTGGGGTTAGACTGGGGGGTCTTAGGGGGTCTTTTCCACCCTTAATGATTTTGTGATTAAAGACAGAGATGAGCACAGCCGTTACGATTTGGACACCCCTCCCCTCAGTTTGGGTAAGGTCTTAGACACTTCCAAGTTTTGATCACAGCAGCTTTTCCCATGGGATCCATCAGCCTGTGACATTCTCCCCGTCTCCGCAGTCCCCTTTGGCAATGAGAGATGATACCTATTGAGAACAGGCATTTATTTCTTGCATCTCCGCTGTGTGACGCTCCAACAGGAATGAGGTGGGCAGTGGGACAGGAGGCTGACCGTCACACCAGGGCTGAGCCGAGCGCTCCAGGCAGCCATGGCCTCGCTCAGTGGGCACGGAGCAGCTTGAGGGGCCACATCAGCATCCATGGGCAGGACGGGGGCGGCAGGAAGTGTGCCAGCAGCCCGGCCACCGCCAGCCCCAGCAGCAGCCATAGCAGCCGGGCGCTGGCATACAGCGGCCCCAACCTGTGAGGAAATCTGTCAGCCGTGGGTGGGGAGGGGAGAGCAGCCCTGAGCGTGATGCCTGGGCCACGTCCCACTCTGGGCTGTGCTGTGGGCACTCACCGTCCCTGCGCAGCCTGCATGTAGCCCCGGAAGTAGCGGAAGCGTGCATGGAGGTACAGCACTCCGCAGGCTGCAGCCACACCTGCAGGGCCAGCAGAGAGCAGGATGGGGGCTGCAGCCGTGGGAGAGCTGTGGCGGGGGGGGAACTGGCCCGTGGGTGCTCAGGGGATGCAGACGGGCACAGCTGCCTCGGGGTGCGTTTCGTCTTGCTGCCCCTTACCTTGATGGAAGAAGATCCCAGCAACCCAGAGGAGAGAGAGGAAGATGGGGAAGTACTCAGAGCAGTTCGCCCTGTGAGAAGCAGAGAGGAACAAAACCCACAGCCGGTGGGTGCCCAGAAGGACGTCCCAGAGCTGCACCCACAGACACAGTGACCTTATGGAGCCCTGAGCAATTCAATCTTAAGTTTGGCCAAGAAGTCTCAGAAGCTCAGGGAATGCAGCCAGAGCAGGAGCTGGAAACTGTGAGGAAGCGAATGCTGCGGCTACAGCCTGAGCAAGGGAGGCTGCCAGCTTTCCATAGTAATACATCAATACCTTCCCCCTCTCTCTTCAGACATAAAAACAAACGACCTATTTGCATCCTTTTCCACAGGGAAAAGAATGAAGGGAGGAAGAAAACACAAGGAAGAAAGGCCTTGGGCAGCCCTGCTCGGAGCCACAGCAGGAGGGGGGCACACAGCACAGCACAGGACAGCACAGCACAGGACAGCACAGCACAGCACAGCACAGCACAGGACAGCACAGCACAGCATAGTATAGTATAGCACAGCACAGCACAGCATAGCACACACCGCAAAGCACTGCACAGCATAGCATAGCACAGCACCACGCAGGCTGGCCCTTCGTGGCACCACTGAAGGAGCCAGTGGGTGTTGTTGTCACTCCACCACCATCTTCCACCTGCTGGCAGGGAAACACATCAGCTCTGCTCTCAATGTATCCCCGCTCAGCCAATTCCTTTTGGTTGCTGATGGAATAGCATCACCAAGATGAAACATGGACAATGGTGCATGCTGGAAACCAGAGGGGTCTTCCAGCACTTCTCACTCCATAGGAGCAGAGGAAGAAGGAAAAGCCCTCAACACGCACCCACAGGTGCTCTCACAACACCACGACTTCAGGTCTTTCCTGATATTGATATTTAACCCAAGCAAGATCTGGGTGCAGCCACTGCAAACGACTGAACCTTACTGAGCTCTGAAGATCCGCTCAAACTCGGGGTGACCCGTTGTCTCCGGGGGAGAGATCTTGTACTTCCTCCGGGCGTAGATCACCTGCAGTGCAAAGTAGGCTGAAAGAGAGCAACAGACAGAGGTGACTGCCCGGCAGTGTTGCATTCAACCAAGCTTTCTCCAGTTCGGAGCCAAGCACAGGGCTGGAGGAAAATGGCACTCTGAGGTTCAATTGGAGATGCCCTGAGTGAGAGCACTGTGATGGGGCGATGATCTCTGACACTTCACTCCCGTAGGGCAGCCCTGCGGCTGGAGCAGCTCAAGGAGGGGGTGATGGGCTCAGGCCAGGAAAGGTCATTCCACAGTGATGAGGATTTGGACCGTTCCACCATCTGATGAATGATCATTATTCCCACAGGGGAATGCTGATGATGTTTCAAGTGCTTAATTTTGCTTTTGTTGAAAACAAGGCTGTTCATCCAGGAGAACGCAGAAGCATGAAACAGGCTGTGGTTGCTGTGGCAGAGCTGTGGTTGGGGTCAGTGAGGTGCCATAGGGCACTGAGAGGCAGACGAGGAGCCCACAGGGACCATGTTGTGGCTGTCCTGTTGTAAGATAGAGGATAAGAGCAGAGCAGCAGGACAGAGAGAGGAGACAGATGTTGCAAGATTAAAGATGAGTGAGAGCCACACATGCCTGCAGATAAGCAATAGAACAGACATAGAGGGAAAGGGAATTAGAAATGTAAATAATCTGGTGCTATGTGACCTATTACACAACGTTATCCACTTAACTATCCACAGAAATGCACTGAAGATGACGTGCACATGTGCTGGTGCCCTGTGCACAGCCCCATGCATGAGTGCTGGGGGGAGGCAGAGGGGATGAAGAGCCCTCTGGGGACAGCTGAACGCTTCCTGTGCCAGATCCCACACACAGGTTTGGGGCAGTGCCCTGAGATGTGGCTGGGCCAGCTCACAGAGATTGAGATGCCCTTCAAAAATGCCCTCTCAAAAGAAGGTGCTGAGAAGCTGCACTGCACAAACCTCCTCAGAAGGATGAAGAGCTCCATCTGCTCTGCTTCCCATACTTTGTAGCCCTGTGGGTGCTCCAGAGCGTGGAGCGGTGGCACTGAGGGGCAGTTCAGTGGGCAGTATTGGCAGGCAGTTGGACAAGATGATCTTAGTAGCCTTTTCCAACCTTACTGATTCTATGCCTCCAGGTTAAACTCGACTGGATGCCTCCATTCCCCACGAGGATGCACCCCCAGACTCACCCACCATCACCAGGGCTGACAGCTCCATGCATCTGAATACTCTTGGCAAACCTCTCAGTGGGGACTGGCAAGCTGTGACATTGCACAAGGTGTTTCCTGTGAAGCCACACTAAAAGGGGAAAGGAGAACCAACCCTGGTGGCAGCGTTCTGCTCACAGACTGCATGGAACGCTGAAGGATCCCATAAAACAAACACTTGGGGGTGAAGGTGCTCTTTAGGGATGAGCTGATGAGGTTTCCCAGTGAAAAGGTCTCTGAAACACTTCCTTAATTCATTTCAAGCATTCATCTTTCCTTCCCTGCACGCTGAGGGCTCCTTCCACCCCCACTTACATTAACAACCAAAAATGCATAAGACAAAACACTTCCATTTGTTTCTCAGTAAATTGTCTGAGGGAAATGACCACCCTGGAGTCGTGAGCCCCCTTCTCCGAGCAGCACTTTGGGTTTGAGGTGAGACCTGCACTGAGATGCACCACCTGATGGCTGAAAACAACACAGAGCCACATCCAGCAGCTGTGAGCAAAGGGCCGACAGCTCCGTGGGGATGGACTGAGCAATAAAGACAAGAGCAGCAAAACCACCTGTCCTGCAGAATGGGACAGAGGGCTGAGCACGAGGCACAGACAGAACACAGCTCCTTCCATACATCTCTGATGTGTGTTTGAGTTCTCCATCAGTGCTGCACACACCCACCCTTGTTTCAGCCATTTCCAACCATGCCAAGCCACACACAACGCTCTGAAATTCTATCACAAACCACTCTGCTTTAAAACATTCAATCATTGATGGTGTTCAAAGGTTAGAAGCAGAACTTCAGCTCCCATTTCCCTCTAGGACAGAGGCTTTCAGACTCACACACCTTTTAGTGCCCCAGTGACACCCGTAGGCACAATGCCTCCCACCTGCAGCAGCCACAGTGTGCAGCCACTCACCATCACCGAGGGCAGCAGCTTCCATCCCGCATGCACAGCAAACAGAACAGGGGAACCAGCTCCGCATCATTTGATGCAATTAGGTTAATTAGTAGCTGACACAAAGGCCATTTATTTACCTTGCTCCAGGACTCCCAGAACAGTGACAGCAGCCAGCAAGTCTACCTCGCTCCTCATATTGCCTTCCATGAACCAATGTGCAGAAGAAGCACAATGAGGAGAGCAGCTCTCCAGCCCTCCTCCCACCTCTGCACACCCCACAGCAGAGCCCTATTCCCCTGCACAACACGTGTTTCCTCCAAGCATCCACTCCCCCCACACCCCTCAGCCTTCTAGGCAGCTGCCCACTGCCCGGAGAGCAGCAGCACGGGCTGCATGTACCCCAAGGGATCCTTGGACATTACAGGTTTGGCACTCAGATTGATTTGTACTGAAAGACAATGAGGTCTTTACTGCTCACTTCAATCACTTCTGAAGTACCTATGTTCTATACAAGGTTGTGCAAGTCTCAGTGAGTACTCACAAATTAACGGCGTGATCTGCTGCTCCTATTCCAAGATACAGAATTGGTCAGGGGAAGGACTTCATAGACTTTAGTGCCATCCTTAGAAGAGCACTGGGATGCTCAGCCCATGACAAGTGTAAGCTTACGCAGTGCAGCCCTTTTGAGCTCTGTCACTTCTTGTGGTTTTCTGGTGCAGTCACAGCTCTGCAGTACCACCATTTCCTTGCTCAAATGCAAGCCAAAAGCTCTCCCTTCAGAAATGACGGCAGCACAGGGGAGAGAGATGGCTCAGAAATACCACAGTAACATCAGAACTATAAGCATGAAATGTAAAGAGCAGCAGTGTTTCATAGACCTGAATGGCTTCTTTTCCTTCATCACAAAAACCAAACAGACATTGGCTGAAGAAGTTACAAACCAGCCTGGAACAACAGGAGAAAAATAAAAGAGTACTGACTTCAAAGATTTAAAATGGGAGACAGAGAGAAAAATTAGTTTTCACCTCATGTTGATGGAGAGAAGGTGCAGGAAAGGACTGAACCATTGCATCTCCCCATGTGCAGATGCACAGCCAGCTTCATTCACAGCACCGACAAGGAATGAACAGGCCTGTCGCCTGTTGCTCATCCCAAGCAGGATGCTGCAAGTTCTCACTTCTGTTTTCAGTCTTCAACTTCTCAAAACCCCACTGCAGCAGTTTCTCAAGCTGACTTCAACATCACTCAGACACACAGCTGTGCACTTTCCCTGGCAAAACACACGAAATGCAGCACAAGTGCTCCCTATCCTCTCAAAACACAACTGGATTTTGGGTCTGCAGGCTGCTCTGAGGCCCGGACTGAAGGTTAACTGCTCTACTTCCATTTAATAGAAGCTGTTGGTGACCCACAGCTTCACACGGGCATCTACCCTAACATTCAGACTGGGGACATCACCAGACTGCTTTTGCTTACACCATTCCAGCAACCATACAACATTTTAACACCAGCCAAAGAACAAAACCCAAAGTTCAACACATGGAGAACTGTCCTTCAGTGTGTGAAGCTGATTAAACTTCTGCCTATGTAGGGGGATGCTGGGAATTGATGTAACATGCGAGAGGAACACAGCCTTAGCAAGAAACACAGTTGTCATCGTTCGCAGATTCTTCTTTATCACTTCTGCTTCATCTGTGGTTGGGGAGAGAGATGAGAGGCATTAGTTTGGAACTCCAGATTAGATATGATCAGTTAAAAGCTGCACTTAAACAGGAAACAATACATAAATAACTGAACTTGTAGCTTTACTGCAAGCAGCATGATTCACCGCTAAGAGAACTGCTTCAGAACAGTTGAGCAATCCATCAATTATAGCTTGGTAGCAAGACTATTAAAACCCAAACTTGTACCCCTGAAAACGATGACTCCCTTGGATGCTGATAGAGCCACAGATTTTCGCTTTATTTCTGACCATCCTACGCAGTGTTCAACCAAGAGCTCCATCAGTAGCCCAGATCCACTCTGCTACTGCTTGCCACCACCTCTTCAACCCACCAGCTCCAGACGCACGACGAAGCGACCACAAACCCAGCGACTTTGGCAGCTTTAACCCAAACTCCTCATGTAGCTGCTGCCAGCATCTCTGTCCTCATTCAGCAGCACCAGCTCCAGAACTCGCATTTTGCACACTTTCTCACTTTCAAATTTGGAAATAAAAGAAGTGAAGCGAAGCTTAATGAGCAACTCCTCTGTGCTCACACTCCCAGCACCCAGAGGCAGTGGCTGCAGCTCCTTTCCGGAGAGTTTTCTGCAGTCTCTTTATGCAGCACTGGCTGCCGCTGCCTTTCGGTAGCACTAAGAACTGGTTAAGACACAGCAGCAGAACCTGAGCCTGTGCACCAGGTTGGCCAGAGCTGTGTGCTGGGATGAGGGAACCAACACACTGCAGACAACGCTGAGCCCTCTGCTGCTCAGCTCACACAAACGTAGAACGTCACGCCATGCATGTTTCATACACTAGCAAAATATTTATTTTATAATGATAAAACAGAAGTGAAGGATTTCTTTTTGGTGTGCACCAGTAATTGTAGTAAAAGAATAAGGGGATTAATGGACTCTTTATACATTTCAATGACAAAAATTCATAAAGGTTAGCATCAAATTCAACTGTTCTCCATTTACAAGCATAAAACTTACCATAATACCCCCCAAACACATATATAAAGAATTATAGTTTTAAAATCTATAAAAAGTAAAAAATATACAGTCAGAAGATCTAACTCTTATTCAAATCTTTAATATAAAATTGTAAACATTTATTTACACAAAGGAAATGTGTATAACAAAATTTTGAGCACCCTTTTCAATCGAGTCGTGGTTTTTGGAAGGCAGTGGATGTTGCACAGTGACACTCTCACCTTTCCCACCCAACCAAAACCGCAGTTTATAAATAAAGCCATGGGCGGCTGGCCAGGTGCAGTTCAGGGGAGCTACATTTTATTGCTCTGAAGCTGCAGCAAATGGAAAGCCCAAGTGCATATACAGACAGCTACATGAAAAAGGGCATAAAGGCAAAGCTCAGCCCTACCCATGCACCTACAGACATCTAAACCGTATTTTCCTTTCCTTTCAACTGTTTCAGCGTTGTTACAGTGATACCTAACAGCCTGATGCGACGGGGCCCAAGAACAGAAGCAAGGGCTGCTTCTTCCTACGGTCACGTGGTGTCTGGATCCCGTTCACACATGAAGACCAACAGGCACCATAAGCCAGGCTGCCTAGAATCACACTTCATTTTAGTTCAACAGTACCATGAAAAGGCCCTGTCACCAAAACTCGATACCTTCCTGAACAAACCTCTGGTCAAACAGGGCAATATCCACCTCAGCTTCCAGAAACAGCGGAGGAAAGAGCACAGCTGCATTTCACTGGGCATTACGCTGGATTGCCTTTTTGGTAGCAATAATGCAAACAGAAGACGCTCTTTTCCTCTGATTAAGAAATTAAAAGCAGATGGATTTTTTCATTATTCAGAACAAAGACTGTGTGCAAAATCTACCAGAGAACGTCGCAGACTTCAGCACACTGAACAGGGAAGAACGAAAAGCTGAATCCTACTACCCTGTTATATCTCTCAAGTGTTTGTAAGGGGCAAGGGGGGAGTGGGGGAGTGGAAATAGCGACACTGAAGGGTGTCACTTGAAATTATGAGGTCCCAAACACCCCCAGCAGGAAGGGAAGGCACACTGGTGCAAAGTTAACCCTTAAAAACAAATATACAGCAAACATTTCTTCCCCTGCCATTGCTAGTTTATCTATACGCTAACGACACTTACCTGGGACCAGTTTTTGGTTTAATACTAAACCACTCACTAGCTCTTTCCTTAGATTGCCAGTACAAGAAAAGTCAGCATCAGTTATTTGCATCTCAACTACTTATTCTAGAGAATATCATAAGTGTCAACAACCAAAGCAACTAACACCTTCGTCTTCCCATCCAAAGACAATCTTAGTTACCTCTGCGAAAGCTCTACAAGGGATTACGTCTGCTTCAGTGAAGTTCTACCCACTACTCAGTGGTGGGATCCACCGACCAACCGCATCTTTTGCCAGCGGCTCAACAGCATCAGATCTGTTCAACAGAGCGCGATTCGTCCACACAGGGCGAGCGTGTCGGACAAACCACGTTCCATGCATATTTGGAAAGGGTTAAAGTATTAGTGTTAAAAACAAGCAGTTTTTAAAAGTGCAAATTGTCTGACAAAGGAGCTGCAGATACAGGAACGCATTTTCCTTCTTCGAATTCCACGTTATCCTTCGCTTCCCCTCACCCACCGGAATAAAATCCTCTCGCACATTCTGCAGAGTGGAAAACTCCTGAAGAAGAACAGTCTGTTGAGGGAAATTGCTTTTAAATCACAACGCCGGGTTTGGTTAAAAAGTTTGAAGGAGTTTTCCAAAAGAAGTGGATTTAGAAAGGGAAGAGGTATTTGTGCATTTAAAACAAAAGCTTTCAACTTTATTTTCGTTTTAAAGTAAAGGTTAAGGCAAGGTGGTTTGTTGGTGGATAAGGGATCTTTTTTGGTAGAAGTAAGGACTTTGGAACACTGCCTGTTGCCACTGTGGTTTCAGTCCTTCCTGTGAGTAATCCCAACACGGACAAGAGGTCTCCTTGTGCTGAGCTAAAGAACCAGCATCTGCTTCAAGGGATATTAACGGGATAAACCCACCTGTCTACAGAAAGATTACCAAACTCACAACCCAGTATTAAAAACAAAAGTATTTAAAGGGGGAGACTTCAATACTGGAGCAACCTTGATGCAAGCATTCTCCCAGGCTGCTTGTGCTATTGTTACTGCTAAGGACTTTTCACCTCTCAGCCAAGTTCTTTTTTTCCTCATTTTACCCTGAAGTGACAAAGTCTTGTGCTCATTGTGTCACTGCTAGCTTTGGGGGATGAACTGATCTCAAATGTTAGTTTTACTTTTTACAACAAAGAAAACTAAATGAGCTGTCATGAAGCAAAGCCTTCATTTAAATACAACTACCTTTGGAAATAAGTTATGAAGAAACAGGTGCAAAGGAAATGGCTTTACAATTCATGTTAAACCTACTATAGTTTAAAAGTTCTCCCATAAGAAATTCCCCCTTTAAACACAGTAAGGTATAAGCCAAGAACTGTGCCTCTCTACAACAGAGTGCAAACTGCAGCTTAAAAGACTACAATCTATTAAGAAGACTACCTTGACTAACTGGCCAGGTTTAATACTTCCTTTCATCTACCACCAGCATCTAGAAACACTTACTGTGAAATATCACTTGCTTATGGAGAGTACAGGCACATGCTTCAGCGGTGGAAAAATTCACAGCATCTTGCAAGCGTACTCGGGTGCACGTAGCCTCAAACAAAAAGTCAGACATCTGATGACAGTACTACAACAGCACGCCAAGCTACGGACAATAATGATTGCAGGTAACAGCTGCAGAAAACTAAGTCCTAAATTTCTGCAACTATTTGCTTTCTTTCTGCACTATTTCTGTGAAACAGTTCTATTTTTAAATAATTAAAATTTCTCATTTTAGAACACTGCAAGTGAGATTTCTGACAGGCTGGATGGGACACGCACAGCTTTGTTTGACCTGTCTGAACGTGCAACTCCCCAGAGACGCCGGGGCAAAGCGCACTACTCCTGCAGACCTGCTTGGTGCGCCATTACCACGCGTCAGCGCTCACTGAGAAGCAGCTCCAGTCCCTTTCCCAACCATTTACCTCTAATGCCTGCAAGTCTCCTCAATGCCACAGGTTTTTTGGTCCAAGTGTTGCTTATATTTCATGAAATAATTAAAAAAAAGTAGAACCCCCCACCCCCAGCCCTCTTTTAATGAGTTCCCAACAACTCATCCAAATCATTCATCCACTCCTCCGAAGTCCTGTTTTTCAGCAAAGAGTCTATCAGATCTGTGTCACCAGTTAAGTTCTGAAGTCCATTATTGCCTGACTGGCTGCCGTAGGCAAAAGGCAGCTCTTGACTGGTTGTCCTCACCGGGTACCCTTGACTACAGTGCATATTACCTCTGTTGGGCATTTGTTGATTTGGATTCTGGTTGAAAGCGTTCAGATCCGGAACAGTCTGGTTGATGCCAGGCAAGACCTGCTGTGAGGGTACCTGCTGTTGTGAAGGTGGGTTTGTCCGCTGCTGCGTGCCTAACGACGACGACAGCATCTGCCCAGACACGGCAGCATTCATGGAGGTCATGGGCCTGCTGGTGCTGAGGCTTACCTGAGGCATTCCTTGAGCAAACTGCTGGTTGGCCACCTTTAGATGAGTTTGCTGCATGTGGAAAGAGGAGCTGGCAGAAAATGGTCCTAAGCCACCGTTTCCTTGTGTCTGGTTATTAATATTAGGGATACCTTGGTGTTGCCAAGATGGATTTTGAGCCCCCATAGCAGCTGGTACTCTTGCCATCTGTGGCTTAGATAAGGTTGGATTCAGTGCGCCTTTATTGTGCTGTTGAGAAATACTTGAGTTTGCTAAGGTATTCTGCCCATAGCCAGCAGGAACAGCAGCACCCTGGCCCAAGCTGCCTTGTCTCTGCATCGGTGGCTGTCCATTGGCACTCTGAGCTGCATGCTGGGGAACCATACCTGACGGTATGCTGTACAGCCCCCCTCGCTGAATGTTCTGCATGTTGGCGTACTGAGACACCCCCCGGTCCTGCTGGCTGGAGCCAGACTGCAGCGGTGCGACAGAAGTGTGTCCAGGTCCCATCTGAATCATGTTCTGGGTCTGAGGAAACATCCGTGGACTGCTGGAGCTGGACTGTCCTAAATTACTGACCCCAGGCATGGCTGAAGATGATCCTGAAATACAAAGAAACATTTTGTACATTAACTACTCAGTTCAACCACGGCCAACCTAGGCCTGTGGACCCTATAAGCCAGAATGCAGCTACATTTGTATAAAACAATTTCAGCAACCAGCACACAGACAGCAGTACTGTGTCCAGTCTGATCTCAAACACAGACATGCCAATTTCCTAAAAAGTCTGAATGCCACTTCTACGAGTTCAGCATCACCAACACTAAAAAAATTAGGCTTTATTGGGCAGGACTGTGATGCTTCCCTGTAGAAGAAACATCCCTACTACTTAAAACAAGAAAAAAAAAACCAAAACAACAGACAAGCACAGTAAAGTATAGATATATCATCCACTTTCTCCCCACATTTAACCAACCAAGGGAAACCTGCCTACACAGAGCTTCCTCTACTTTCAAACAACAAAAAGCTACAGATTTTTTAAGATAATTCAAGACATACGAGTAACACTGGCTTTCCATTGGATTAACAATTAATTAACCAGTTACAGGGCCAAGTGGGAGGTCATACAGTGAAGAGGTAGAACACATACCAGCTCTTAAGATGCAGAATATTACAATCATCAAAGCAAG